GGCCAGGTGGTCTGCAGATTGGCGGTGGTATCAATGACGAGAATGCTCAAGAATGGATTGAGGCGGGGGCTAGTAAGGTCTGCAGCCCAAACATTTAGCTTCTACTGGGTTTGATATCTTAACTTCTGCAGGTGATCGTCACCTCATTCCTGTTTCCTAATGCTAGATTCTCCTTGGAGCGTCTGCAAAAGGTGTCCTCTGCTGTGGGAAAGGACAAACTAGTTGTGGACGTAAGGTGACTACATCGTCCGTATACTTGGCATGTTTAGCTTGAGCTGAGATGGCATGTTAGCTGTCGGCGAAGAGGAGATAAATGGATGGTGGCGATGAACAAATGGCAAGATATTACTGACATGGAGGTCTCCAAAGGTGCGCCAAAATGTCCCAACTATAAGCACAACTCTCAATTATTCATTAGAATCTCTACAAATGTTGTCTGAATACTGCAGGTTGTTTTTTCCCAGGTTTATCGACTGTTGTCGCTGATTCCTGTGAAGTGAATTTCTAATACACGCTGCGGACGTAGAGGGATTATGCCAAGGCATTGATGAGGAGTTGGTAGAAAGTACGTTTAATCTATTAATCGTCGTACTGGAGCTGACATGCGCAGAACTTGGCCAATGGGTACAAATACCCACTACATATGCAGGCGGCGCGAAGGGTACGTCGAAATGTCATAACAGGTGTGAAAGCACCCTAATATTGGCCACAGATATTGGCGACCTAGATCTTGTAGAGCGATTATCTGGTGGGCGGGTCGATCTGACCTATGGAAGGTCCGTCAGCTATGGAATCTCGCTGACATTGATTTGACTCGTTAGTAGTGCCCTAGATATCTTCGGCGGTAAATTGGTAAATTTCAATGCTTTGGTGGAGAGAAATGGACATAGATTAGATTAGATCAAAATCTGTATTTGTAATGAAGCGTGGGAACAACGATACAGTTATTCGAAATAAGGTTTGGGACACAAATCTGGTTGTTCAAGCCTGGTGATCGCTGCACGACGTTCCTCAAGTTTTCATTTCCGTCCGGATTCTTGTTCTGTGCTGACTCTTGTCCTTGCTTGCTCAGACCTATCACCACCAAAATGCCCGGCAAAGTCAAGGCTTACGAACTCCAATCCAAGTGCGCATCTTACGGATGATGGAATATGGAAGGGACATAGACTGACTGTGCACCTAGGTCGAAAAATGATTTGGCCAAGCAGCTCCAGGAGCTGAAGACTGAGCTTTTGACTCTGCGGGTACAGAAAATCGCTGGAGGCTCAGCATCAAAGCTCACCAAGATGTGAGTAACACCGACAGGATCGTCGTAGAAATCATATTCATTCCTTGATTCTCAATAGCGCTACCGTTCGCAAGTCGATCGCCCGGGTGCTGACGGTGACAAACCAGAAGGCTCGCCAGAACCTCCGTGAATACTACAAAAACAAGAAGTACCTTCCCCTTGACCTCCGGGTGAAGAAGACACGCGCGATCAGAAGACGTCTGACCAAGGTGGGTTATCGACTCATTAATAGCGTCTCACAGCGACTGACTGGCCACTGTCTTTTTCAGCACGAGGCATCGCTCAAGACCCTTAAGCAGCAGAAGAAGGATGCTAACTTCCCTCTGAGGAAGTACGCCGTCAAGGCATGAGCACTGGGCTTTGGTGTGCATAGGAGTGGGGTCGCATTCATGCCGGAGTTTTCTTTGCCATCGTTGTTTTCTATATGCCGCATTAATGTCCATATGCCCATGCTCTTATGCGTGTACTTAGAGTGAACTATTGTACAGATGAGAAATTTCACCGGACCATCGGGGCACTTGGCCCGCTACATTCCCATTTTAGTTTATGCGCGTGTAGAAAGGAATTTCAGCATCGCGTTGGAACGGCGCTTACAACAGAAAGTTAACATCTCCCCACTAGACCAGGGTCAACGTTCATCGTCAACTCTTTACCTCGTGGGACCCAGCTTCAAGTGACGTCGCTATCACAAGGTCCAACTAATCACTCAAATCAGCTTCGAATCTGAAGCCATTCAGTCATTTCTCCTTCGATAACGTAGGGGGTTTCCGCCTTGTTCTGAGGCGTAGACACTTCTGTAGGCTCTAGGGCTCTCTTTGCTTCCGCCCAAGTTTGATTCGCTACAACTTCTCCAAGCTTTACGAACTCCATTTTAATTAACGAATTATGGTGAGTCCATACTTCGACAGATATTCTTCGCTTCCAATTCACACATCCATCTCGACGGAACCTGGGACTATATCACCTATATGATAAGTCTGCACGTGTGTTAGCAACATGAGGTCAAGCCCCAGTTGGCCTTTTTCGAGCTTTCTTTCTAAACTGTCATGTCGCGCCTCCGAAAAAGAAGTGACGCTGACTATGTCCCCAATCTACAGTCGAAACCAGCTGCTCATTCCCCTCCTTCCTCGCCGAAGGCTGAAGTCAATCTTCGCATGCGAGGTCCCCACCCGGTTCCGAGCAACAACCCAGCGAGTCAATACACCTTACTTGAAAAACTTGGGACCGGGAGCTTCGGAACAGTTTACAAAGCTATGCATAATGACACAAAACAGATTGTGGCCATTAAGCAAATAGGTGTGATCTCGATTAAATCGAAAAAAATATCCCGGCACATTGACACTATGCTGCAGATCTTGAAGATTCAGATGATGATATCTCTGAGATTCAGCAGGAAATCGCAAGTCTGGCGCAGTGTGATTCTGAGTATGTTACTCGGTACTACGGCTCATTCGTTGTTTCCTATAAGCTCTGGATCGTTATGGAATACCTTGCGGGCGGGTCATGCCTGGATCTTTTGAAAGCAGGAACCTTTTCAGAGGCACATATTGCTGTAGTGTGCCGTGAACTTCTCTTGGGCCTTGATTATCTTCATACAGAGGGGACGATCCATCGCGACATAAAAGCGGCCAATGTGCTGCTCTCGTCGTCTGGCAAAGTGAAGCTAGCGGATTTCGGGGTCGCTGCACAACTTACAAACACACTACGACACACATTCGTTGGCACCCCGTTTTGGATGGCACCGGAAGTCATTCGGCAAGCAGGGTACGATGCAAAAGCGGACATGTGGAGCCTTGGTATTACCGCCATTGAGATGGCCAAAGGAGAGCCCCCCTTGGCTGAATATCATCCGATGCGAGTCCTCTTCCTGATTCCCAAAGCAAAACCTCCTGTTTTGGAAGGCGCGTTTTCTGCTGCGTTCAAGGATTTCGTGTCACAGTGCTTGACGAAAGACCCAAGTACAGTAAGTAACTCACATGATTGCGGTCTTGTACATCTGTCAACGTCTCACGCCAGCGACCAACTGCCAACGAACTTCTCCAGCATAAGTTCATACGAGGCGCACGCAAAACATCTTACCTTACTGAGCTCATTGAACGGTATCAAGACTATAGGGCTCGCTTACCTGGGAAAGGGGGACCTCAGATGTATCAGCCTACTATGAGGCAAAGTCAGGCATGGGACACTGTGCGAAGTGATTGGAATTTCGACACAATCAAATCTTCATCATCAGCAATGGGAACTTTCCGCACCATGACGAGGGATTTGAAAATGCCACTTGGCATGGTAGCCGATGAAGAGGAGGGGTCTGACGAGGAGTTCCAGGATTCCGTCAGTACAGGTGCCGCAACTAAAGACAGTCGTTCCCAAGTAGCTGGTGGAATAGGGATGAACACACATGCCGCACATTCCACGGTCATCATTAAATCTCCACATCCACCTTCGGAAGATAAAGAAATATCAGAGCTCCTTTCGGAGGAGGTTATCCCTGAAGAAGCTTCTGACGCCGATGACGAGCAACGCGACACTTCACTCGGTGCACCCCCAGCGTACACAGGATCGATACGATCTAATCGTCGAGCATCCTATTCAGCACGAATGTCGGAAGAAGGTGCTGGTACGATAATACGCGAGGCTGATATCGGGACTGGAGTGGACACCATACGACCCGTCAAAAAAGTTGATCCCGCTGGGTCCTTGCGGTTGTCGTCTGAGTTTGTTGGCAGCATACGCCGGGACAGCTCGAGTTCACCGACATCTCCATCAAAACATAAACGTGCGTTGAGTGATGTAGCAAAGGCTGGGTCGGCTCTCGTAGACGAAGTTGTACTTCCCATTCTCCAGAACGTAAGTCAAGTTCATATTAAAATTCCTGATATGTATATCGACATTTTGCACAGGCGATTAGAGACGATATGGATGCCCGGGAGATAGAATCTCTTAGCATGCTATCTCGAGGTTTTATAGAGCTGAAAGAAGCAAACCCCGACATCGCGTACAACATTATTCTCGATATACTTTCTGGGATTAACGAGTAAAGCCCTTTGCATGATTTTTTGGAACACTTTTGACTTATCTTTTCAGGAACCAAGCTGTACGCCGACACATACAGGCCTCACACAGTTTGTTTCCTCACAAGCGCATTACGCGCAAGAGCGAAATGACTTCGAGAGGGCTCGTTGTCACAGAGGTACAGGAAGATATCACTGGTGTTCCGTCTTCTTCAAACTCGTCTAGCGCGACAAAGAACGATGATATTCCAGCCAAGAAATCGCCTATCGCGGAGTTGCTCTATTTACGTTGGTTAGAAGGATTGAAGATCAAGTGGCCAAGTATAATATAGTCGCGGCCAGAGAGATCTGGAACCCTCATTGGTATTTATTCCATTTTCCATTGAAATGACTCAGGACTGCACTCGCTCGAATATCAAAGCTAATCAACGATACTATTGTCTAGTTCTTCACCCTTTTCGTTCCTTGGCATGTCTCTCATTATTCACGATCTTTCACGAATCCCCAGCAGTTTACTTACGACGACTGTATGACCCAAGCTAATGGCCAGCGATGCACTTGATGTTCAATATATCATTCCTATTCCGGCCTTCATTCATACATCGCCCTTTGAGTTCACCATGGTGTTATAAGCGGATATCGATTGCCCCTTCTACTGTCCAGAACCATCTACATATGTCAGATGGAAATAATGTGTGTGAAGCAACATGGCGCAGCTGGAAGCGCGCGGGGCCCATACTCAAATGTCACCCCGAGGTCACTCGATCGAAACGAGTTGTTGCTATTTTTGTTATTCTTTGCGGAAGTAACTGACAGTTGTCGTTATTGCCGTCAGCCTGCCGTACTAGTGTTTGTTCTGCAATAATTATAGACTAATCTGCCTCAGGCACACATCCTTTCTCCGCGCCACATACCCCTGGTCCATGACTCAAGCTCATGTGCAGACCCTTAGGGTCAGAAAGCAAATGAAAGCGTGTATAAGTATGTCCGTCATGATTATAATATCATACTTGTAACAAACGAATGTGAGAGACAAGCGAAGGTGAGGTAGTATACACACAGAAAGACTGTAATCGTGCAGTCGTGTAGGTATTAAAAAGGCTGATCAATAATAGAAAGGTATCAGAGCAAGTCCATCAAAAGGTGTGGTATGTACATGTCCGAGAGGGCGATATGATGTGAAAATATCAATGGTAACAACAGAAGTTTCCGGGAAAAAATAGAGAAAAAGAACAGAGCAGAAGGGATTAAGACTGGAAAGAAGAAAGGAGTCCGTAGTCCGACACAATTAGTGAAAGACAGTAAATTGTGCGATTCCATAGAAACGTGTCAATAGTCGTGAAGATCGAAAGGATGTAGTTCCTTAAATCAAGATAGAAAAAAACGCTACTAAGGCAGGGGCGCACAAAGAAATCACAATGTAAGGCAGACCCGATGACAAGGCATACGGTGCGAGGGCCGTCCCTGCGTTGGATTTCTGCCCCGTTTTGTCAGCAGCTGCAGAAGCCGAGGTAGCGGGTAACGTCGAGGTCGATTTTCTAAAATGATGATACCAACTAAGCGTCATGTCAAGGAGCGAAGGAATGTAGACTTACGCTGCGGTCGATGATGCACCGGTAGAGACAGCTGCAGTCTCTCCTGCAACAGTTGCAGATGCAGACGGGTTTGGAATAATATCCGCGGCTGTTACTGGCGACTCTGAGTTATCAGAATTTTGGTATGTGCTGTTGGTACCGTTCCCAATGAGAGTGAGAAGAGAAGCAGTTTGCCATCCAGCAGGGCCAATTAAAGGGAAGGCGTCCATGTAGGCAGTAATGGTGTCATTAGACAACTCGTGCTCCAACACAATGATTCCAGGGCTTTTGGGACCTGCAGAAGGGAAGTGAGAGGAGTGATCGTCTTCGAAAAGACATATCACCGACCTGCTAGCCATTGAACGATGTTGGCGTGAACCGACTCCTCCGTTACATTGTCTGTTCCAATGCTCCAGTCCTCGGTACTAAAAAATTAATTTTGGATATCATTACAGAAAGCGAAACTTACTCGTGGTTCCAGAGAACTGTCGTGAGGCCAAATACCTAGTCCATGAAGCTTAAGCCAGATAATACGAATAGGTACCAATTGCTGTCTTACCTCCAATGCGATCGCGCGTACTCGCGTGTCGGAGTCGCCATATGGAGGACGCCAGTATCGAGGCACGCGCCCACCTGTCGAATTTCTGATAAGCTCAGCAGTCCAGCCAAGCTTTTGGCCAAGATTATTAAACTTTGACAGAAGCAGCATTCGGCGCGAATCTCACCTGTCCCACGATCTCAAGGTTGCTGAGTGTCGTCATGTATGGATGAGTCCACGTGTGAACAGCAATGTCATGGCCAGCATTGAAAATGTCCAAAAAGTACTGTGGGTAGTACATGATCTGGATCCCGATCATAAAGTGCGTGGCCGTCTGGTTGTTCTCCTCCAAAAATTCCAGCAGCGTGTCCGACACCTGTCATGGACACACAAATCGGTATCAGGAGGATGTCCACAAAGTACTAGTGCGGCGTACGTACGTCTGTAGGTCCGTCATCAAAGGAAGTGGCCCAATACCCTGAGGGTCCATTCCAGACATCACCGGGTATAACGCACTTGTAGGTAGCAGAGCAGACTTCCGGGCCATTCGGATTGTAGCCCGTTGGATACACGGGGTTAGTGCCAGGTGTGTTTGAGCTCTGGGGGATATCTGGGATTTTTCCCGCAGAAACAGCGGCATTCAGAGCATCAACCCACTCTTGTGGGAGGTCGCTAGTATCAGGCGAAGACGAGGGATAGGCAGCAGACCAGGCTAAGCCAGCATTAGTGCATCGCAACTGATTAGAAGAATTTGGACTTACTGGGCGTCCCAACCTGAGGGTAGGTGTTACCGTCAGTAGGGGCACCACGCCTAAAGAGTGCGTGGACTGGGTGGTCGTCGGGTTGGTGCCAAGAAGTTGGAAGACGTTTTTGAAGAGAATGCGAGTGGTCATTACGATCATTAAGCACAGGAAGGCGTGCGGCATAGACAAGAGGCAGGGCGATAAGCACTTTGCACCAGAACATTGGAGACAGACGACCTAGGGGGAAATGAAGGGGGTCGAAGGGTACAAAGGGGCCACAGAGAGCAAGCTTTCTGCCCTCCTGACTATTAAGAGGCCCTCGCTCAAATCAAGTCGGTTCACGGTCAGGGCCATTCTGGGTTCTATGTTTAGCATACAGCCGTCCCGATCACAAACACTCGACAAAGCTTGTTTTCGTTCCTTTTTCCTATGTTTTCTCCACAGTGATCTACTACGGCAAGCCGGCAGTATGCTCCATTTAAGAAAGTCACGGTAGTTCCTGGCCGTAAGTAAGTATGCATGCCATGAATCATGCCAATTTCCCGGACATATGTTAGTACAGGCTGCCCCTACAAACACACAAACTACTCGTGCATTCCACCAACCTTCAGCCGCTAGCTGATGGTGATGGTGCATTAGACCCAGTTCCACCCTCTTGCAACTTCTTCCTCAACACAAGCACGCCTCCCTTTAGCTGAGCTACATCCCTCACCAAGCCTGAGAATTGTGTCTTCTTGTCGGCATCCGTTAAATACGGTGTAAAGTGATGGATACACTCGCGCGTTGTCGCATTTGTTGTTGTGCCGAGCCACTCAATCAACATGACTCTTAGTTGCTCGGGCGCTACGTCAATGGGCGTCACGCCCGTCGCTTTGCGTTTCTTGGGTTTTGGCATCTGTGCTCCGTTAACCCCATTTGCGGTAGGTGTGCTATTGACGGGCTCGTCCACCGCTTTGCGCTTGTTATTGGGCTTAGACGCTGTAGGGCTCCCAGCTCGGCTTCCAGGGCCGGTTCCGACTGGGCTGGCGGCGCGACTATTGGAGGCCACAGGACTCGTTGCACGACTAGCGAGAGGGCTGTTCCCCCCATTCGCATTCATATGCTTGGGTTTAGGTGGTTTGGGGCTCGTGGCGCGCTTCGCGACGACTGAATGTCCACCAAGGCTCGGGGAGGCGGGCGACCCAGCTCGAGAATTCGTATCAGGAGGACGAGGGGTACCTGTCCCAGGTTTCGGAGGTTGTGATGATGACCGTGACTCCGCTTGTTGTGGTTGGGGTTGGACAGCGGGCCCTGTAGGAACAACAGGTTCTTCCTCTTCCTCTTCGACCTACAGATAAAATCAGACATGCGCTTCAACATAAAGATAGTGATAAGAGCACGTGCCGAACTGGCATATGGATTTTCTTCCTCATCACTGTCATATGCATCATTACCCTCGCGGTTGCGGATCAGTTTCTGCATAGCTTTCGCCTGTTTCGACATGCCAGGTAATGGCTCCTCGTCATCCGATTCATCAACCCCGGCCTCACGCTGCTTATTAGCTGCTTTGTATTCACGCTTCAATCGCTCCTGTTAGAATGGTTAGTACCACAGCACTCAATGTCAGCGGTGAGCCAACCTCTAGTTCTTTGGCTTCTTCGTCGTCCGCATCCGCTGCCATTTGCTCCTCATCATCGGCAAAGTCTTCTTCATATACCTGCTCATCCATGTCACCCTCCCCACCGAATTCCTTCTCGCGGCGCTTTTTCACATCTGGGTCATCGTCGTCGTCAAATAGGCCATTCATGCCGCTGTCGACTGTCTTGAGTTTACGTCCACCAGGACCCAGGCTCTGTCCGGAACTGTGTACAAGGCCACCACCGATGGTACGGCCTTCCGCCTCCGCCTTGAACATGGCAGCAGTTGCAGCGGACACACCCTTGCCATTTCGAGATGCAATCCATGCTCCAGTATCACCTCGTTTTTGACGTTGGGTATACTGCCACAAAAGTTATTAGTAAACATTGTCGTAAATTAGAATTCATGTCTACTCACCAATGATTCCACGTTCGCGGTGTCCGTTGGAAGATCATGCTTTATCTTCTTTTGAAATTTGTACCATCGGTGAGTAGGCACAAATTTGAAGATATCGTTCACGGCGGGCATGAAAAGCGCATGGGTTTCTGACCTCGCCACATCCTCCATCTGGGCGGTCCACATCTCTTCCTTGGCTGGGGACGAATCCTCCAGAACCCAAGGGTACCGCTCCTCTCGCCGTAATTGACGCACTTCATCGGGGACCACGTAGACCTGCCGAGTCTTCTTCTGAAACCTCTTTTTCCCGTTGGCAGCTGGTCCCTTGCCTTTGCCATTCGAACCACTGCCCGATGCTCCATTCGACGGCTGTATTGGACGCCCCTCTGCATCGACCATAACCATCTTTCCATCTATGCCAATGACAGGTTTGCCATCTGGCCCAAGCATTGGCCCCACTGCCTCAGGAACCCCCTCGCCTGGTTCGGTGTCGCGCCGCAGTTCCTTGCGATTGAGCTTAATAGGCTGCTGCCAGCGTGAGAGGTCGACTGTCTTGCGAGAGTCAAATTTCATAACGTCGTATTTCCACCCGTTGAGCGCCGAGGACATGAGCTTGAACTCTTGGTAAGGTCCAGTGGGCAGTTTGAACCCGTCATCCTCTGAAGCGGCAGACTGTGGCTTGGGCTTCGACACGGCGGGCTTTTTAGGAGAGGGCGAAGGAGCTGGGGACTCTGAATCCTTCTTTGGATCTGGTTTCTTGGGCTTCTTGGGGTGGAAAAGAAGAGCCATTGAAGGAGCTTTAGGTGCCATTTTGTCAAAGAAACAGCTACGTGGGCATTAAATAAAGACTGTTTAGCGAGGAACGGCTGCTTGGATGCAGTCGTTGAAACGCACTGGCAAGGGGACTAAGTTAAGC